CTCAGCCTCCCGAGTAGCTGGGACTACAGGTGCCCGCCACAACGCCTGGCTATTTTTTGTTGCAATTCTCATTGCTGTTTTAGCTGGCCGAGGCTGGATTCAAACCCGTCACCCTTGGTATATGGGGCTGGGGCCCTACTCACTGAGCCACAGGCACCGCCCTCACTTATTTTTTTGACCTACAAATACCAGAAGCATTTTTAAATTTCCTAATACATGGAGATTTTCTATTTATGTTTTTATAAATATTTCTAGTACATTTGAATTGAGTTCTGACTACCTGCTCTATATAATTTCAATTTTTAATTAATTTGTTGAGACTTACTTTTAAGGTCATAGATATAGCCAATCTGAAAATTTTGAAGTACACAGGAGTTGGCTGTAGTGTTTTATTTATATATAGTTACATACAAACCACATTCCTGACTTTATTCAAAAGTTAATCTGTATTGACTTTTGCCTGCTTAGATGTCAATTACTGACAAGATGCACTAAAATTCTCTACAGACTTGACAGTTTCTGGTAAGTTCTATCAACTTCTGCTTTATATTACATATATTCAGATTATGTTAATAGATTCACCCAAAGTTACTACCGTATCTTTACACTGACCTGAACTTTTATCATTACGAAGTGACCCTCTTCTCTAGAATGCTTTTTTGGGGTCTTAAATGTAACATTAATATGAGACCAGTTTTCTTTTAATATTATTTCTGTAACAAATCTTCTAGCCTTTTACTTCTACCTTTTTTGTCTCCTGTAAACAGCACAAGAGTTGAATTTTTAATATCTAGTATGATACCTTTATGTTCTAACTGGAGTATTTAATTACTAAATACATTACATTTAACATGAATGATATCTGAGTTTGAATCCACAACCTTGTTTTGTGCTATTTTCCCACCTGTCCTGGGTTTCTTCTTGTCCCCTTTCTCATCTCTTTTTGGATTATTTACAATCCTCCATTTCCCCCTCTACTACCACAGAAGTCAGTCACTATTTCCATTCTTTACTACCTTAAAAAAACAGTGATATGCAAGGCTCACAAAATTCAAAGCTAAACAAAATCTATATCCTCTCCATTAATTCCATTATCTCTTCCAACTTAAATGTTATTATTTTCATGTAATTTAATCTTGGACTTTTTTCTGGCCTCCCCAACATTATTAATATTCTACATTTACTTTGAATTTTCTAAATATTTACCACCTTCTTTATTCTTCATTGCCTGTTACATCTGACTTTTTCCACTCGGCATCAACTTCTAAGAATAGCCTTGAGAATTTCCTTTAGTGAAGATCTGTCAGTAGCTGCCTTGGTTTTTGTCTTAAAAATGATCTTCTTTTCACCCTCACTGTCGAATTTTCCCCTCTAGTTGCTGGATCACTAAACTATCTACATGTGGACTTATTTTTATTTATCCTGCCTGGGCTTTTGCTTTTGTTTTTGGGTGGGAGTCTTATCCATTCTACAAAATTTTTAGGCATCAGCTCTACAAACCCCGGTTCTGTCCTCAGACAAACCTCTCAGCCTATTCTCCCTGATTCTTAATTGGTCTTAGAAATTACTCCTCGATTGGTTCTTTAAGATGAATTCTGTATATTTTTTCTTCTGCTCCATCTTCCAGTTAATTTATTATCTTCAGTTCTAAGCTGCTAATAAACCTATCTCTTGGATTTTTATTGCAACTATTAAACTTTTTGTATCTATAAGTTGTACATGGTTTCCTGAAGTTTTCTAGGTCATTTTATAGTTTCTTGGTCCTTGTAGATATTTTCAATCTTGCCTTTTACTTTAAGTATAGTAAGGCATTAAACAACTCCATTATCTTACGTTCTCACAGGTCTGTTCTTGCTGGCCTCCCTCACCGGGCTTTGAATCTTCTGTGTTCAGTTATTTATAACTATTGACTGCTCACTTTCCTCCCTGAACCTGAGATAGTCCTTCAAAGATCTGCTTATTTGTGGCCTGGTCCACAGCACTGTCCTCCCAGGTCAACTCTAAAATAAACACTCTTAAATAAAATCAGCTTGAGAAATCCCCACCCGACTCAGGCTATGTGATCTGCACACAGGACAACTTATAATGCCCACTACTCAGGAGGCACCCTCCCACCTGCCCTGCTTCTAGAGTGGGAAGAGCACTTAGCTTGAAGGCTCATAGTCCTTCATGGTTCTAATTCTCTGGGCGCAGGCCTCCCATCAAGCCACAAACTTTGATCTCTACCCCTAGTGCCTGCCAATGCCATCAAAACTCAAGACTTCCCAGTTTGCCAAAGGCCCTCAGAGTACTTCTTACTCTCCTAGCTTACTCCTTTCGACATCTCTTTCTCAATATCTTGCAAAGCATTCGATGCTTTTCACAAGGTAGATTTTTATCTATTATCTAGCACGTGCCCTGGCCCAAAATCAAGTCAGAAAACTGTTCCAGACAATCCAGCCCCTCCTATCACCAAAAACCCAGTGTCCCCCTTCCATCCTTAAGCTAATTGATATTTGGCATTGTTGCCACTAACAGTGAAACCAAATCCAAGCTGATCAAGCTCTTACAAGAAAAGCAAGAGCGGAATAGTCAGACTCCAGACGTTCACCATGAAGTTCAATCCCTTCGTGACCTCGGACTGCAGCAAAAACCACAAACGACATTTTAATGCCCCCTTGCATGTACGCAGGAAGATCATGTCGTCTCTGCTATCCAAAGAGCTTCGGCAGAAGTACAACATGTGCTCCATGACCATCCGCAAGGACAATGAAGTCCAGGTGGTTCGAGGACACTATAAAGGTCAGCAAATTGGCAAGGTAGTCCAGGTGTACAGAAAGAAATACGTCATCTACATTGAGTGGGTGCAGCGTGAGAAGGCTAATGGCACAACTGTCCACGTGGGCATTCACCCAAGCAAGGTGGTTATCACCAGGTTAAAACTGGACAAAGATCGGCAAAAAATTCTTGAACACAAAGCCAAGTCTCGACAAGTTGGAAAAGAGAAAGGCAAATACAAGGAAGACCTTATTGAGAAAATGCAGGAATGAATATAATCTTTTGTGCAGCCATGGTTTAACTGTAGTTTTTAGCCTAGCGTGTGTTTGGAACTTTTCAAAAATGTACCTGGAATATTCCATTTCCTTCCTGTTTTGTTGTTGACCTGTGGTTCTATAAACCTACTCTTGCAATTTTGATTAAAAATTTTATGAATAAAAATTGGAAATATTTCTTAATTCCAAATAAAATCCATCTTGTTATCTGTTAAAAAAAAAAAGAAAGAAAGAAAGAAAGAAAAGCAAGCGCACTGCTGCTATGGGCCCTGAGGGCCAGCTGTGCCAGGAAGACTGTCTGCAGCTCCCCATCTTGATACATCATACTTTAATGGGGGGAGAGGGTGCAGGCAGGAGTATCTCCTCACCACCAACCCCTGCAGGTGGGCAGATTTCCTAATTAGAAATGTGTGGGCCAAGGGTAAATGAGGTCTGGTACCCAATTATTGGTTCCTTTTTTTTAAGGAATCTAGTTTGGGAGAGAGAAGAACTCAATCTCAAGATCAGGGCTCTGCTGAACTCCATTCAACTCTTAAAAGAGCTGCCTTTCCACTCCAATTTGTATTAAAAAATAGCATTTGCTCATCAGCAATAAAACCCGACCCCTTCTTACAATCCGTCCACAAAGACCCACCTTTGATTAAGGAATTCTGCTGACCGAACATCCCATTGCTATCACAAAAAAGAACTTTAGCATGAGTGAGTTATTTCTTATCAATGGTAACACAAACTTCATTTTGGTTCATTTTTAAAACCTGTATTTTTATAGTTTATTCCAAAGTTTCATATATTGATGGCTAGAGTATAAATCTATATAAGCACTTTGGAAAAAAGCCTGGCGGTTTCTCTTAAAGCTGAGCATATGCCTCCTATGGTCCCACAATTTCACTCCTAGGTATAGACCTAACGGGAATGTATGCACGCACTCAGCAAAAGTCAACGACAAGACTATTCACAGCACTATTAGAGCCCCAAACTGGAAAGTATCCAAATACCCTCCTAGAGTAAAATGGATAACTGATACACTCACATGCTGGAATATTAAACAACAAAAACACCAATTGAATCAACATCAACTAAACCAACTACCTGGGTGAATCTCATAAGGTTGAATGAAAGACACAAAAGAACATGTGCCCTATGATTCCATTTACAGCGCCCTCAAACACACGCAAAATAAATGCATAGTGTCTGAAACAGGAGAGCAGGGATCCTTGGAGCTGGGCAACAACTGGGACACAAAAGGAGCTTGGGGAGGTCCAGAGTAATATATTTCTTGATCTGCTAGTTAAATGAGGGGGTTTAGTTTATGGATATTTCTTGAGCTGTAAACTTACAATGCATTTTTCTGTATACATTTACTTCTGTAAAGACTTAAAAAATATATATCATCTTTGCAGAGAAAATGTCCCCCATGGATCACTGGGGAGGAGCACCTTGAAGGCCTGACTTGCACCCCCTTCTAGCTCTCCCCCATGCACACAGTGCTCCCTCCAAAGACAGGAAGTGGGGACCAGGCTCAAGGTCACCCCTGCACCCGACAGGGCAGTGACTAAGCAGGACCCACAGACCTTCAATGTCCTGTGGCCATTACCCACTGTGGTGTCCTCCTCAGAGTCTTCTAAAAATCAAACTGTTCAGAATAAGGCTTGGGAGCTTCCAAATTAAGAGGGAAGCAACTTAAGATGGAAAAAGAGTAGCCGGGCTTCAAAGCAGCAGCTACAGTTGACCTTTTAAAAGTCCCTTGACACATCAATAATAAGACTTTTCATTAAGGGTTTCAATAATTCAGTTATTCTTGAACATTGATTCTTTCCTTCCCTTGAGCCCTGTGATTACTATTAAATTCTGAAAATTAATACTTTTCTTTCTAATTGCTACAAATTACCTACCAACAAAATAAAAATGTCTTCAACAGAACTAAACCTACATCTAAGTCCTATTTGAGATCAGTCTTCACTGAAAACAAAGCTGGTTTTGATGCAGCTGAGTTGTAGATTTTAATCATTGAATGAACAGTTCCAGAAAAATATACCACTTGGGTATAAATGAGGGTCTTTCACTTTTTTTTTTCAATTTATTATTATTTTATTTTAAGACAGAGTCTTATGGCTCAGCACCTGTGGCTCAAGTGGCTAAGGCACCAGCCACATACACCGAAGGTGGAGGGGTTCGAATCCAGCCCCAGCCCGGCAAACAACAATGACGGCTGCAAACAAAAATAGCTGGGCATTGTGGCGGGTGCCTGTGTTTCCAGCTACTTGGGAGGCTGAGGCAAGAGACTCGCTTGAGCCCAGGAGTTGGAGGTTGCTGTGAGCTGTGATGCCACAGCACTCTACCCAGGGGGACAGCTTGAGGCTCTGTCTCAAAAAAAAGACAGAGTCTTACTTTATCACCCTAGGTAAAGTGCGTGATGTCATAGCTTACAGCAACCTCCAACTCTTGGGTTCGAGCGATCTTCTTGCCTCAGCCTCCTGAGTAGCTGGGACTATAGGCGCCCACCACAACACTTGACTATTTTTGTTTGCAGTTTGGCCAGGGCCAGGTTCAAACCCACCACCCTTGGTATATGGAGCTGACGCCCTACTCAGTAAGCCACAGGCACTGCCCAAGGGGGTCTTTCACTTTTTAATGTAAAATGACTAGGTCAGATATTCCCATTAGAAAGGGCTGGGAATCTTGGATCAACTCTTCATTCCTTTGCCTAAGAAGGATGGAGGCTGAGTCTGGAATGGACCCGGAAAAGACTCTTTCCTAACATACCAGTCCCCTCCCCCCCACTTTCATGCAAAATTCTAAGAGGAAAGGAAACCACCATGAAGTGAGGCAGGATAGTAAGTAACTTTATCCACTCCTCTCACTCTGTAGTCTGGTGAAGTCTGACCAAGAGAAAAGAAAATGTAACGCCGACTACAAGAAAAGAATTCTCCCTCCTGCCACCAAGGAATACTTTTGCTCACTCAACACAAAATCCACCTCTTTTCAGAGTAAGCCAGCACATTGTTCAAAACCAAAATAACGTTTTGTTTCCCGGTAAGTATGTCACTACTGACAGGCTCGGTTACTCTGCAAGCCCTACCTAACGTCCGACAGTTTATTTACACAGGAAAATAAGGGATGCTCTGACCAAGTCTCCTCCCTGCAACTGATACTAGCAACAGGGAAGGGCCCTGGCTGTCGAGGTCTGTGGGTAACGGGTTGTGGACAGACAGGGAGCCCTGAGATCAGTATAGCCCGCTGGAGATTTGGGGCTCCCAGTAGAGGGCCACACCCAAAGCCTTCCCCTAAGGCTCACTTCCAAACCCTGGCCTCTGCTGCCAGAGCAGGGATTGTCTGCATTTGACAGCAACCCTCTGCACATGACTGTCAATTTCTCAACTGGGGCCAGGCTGGAGGCAATCCAAAAATCACTTGCATTTGGCTCTGGAATATGTTTTTGTGTTTATACTTGCTGCTCTAGGAATCCAGACTACTTCAGGCTAAATAATAAACTCACAGAACACAAGTGCTAGTAAATCATCTCCATTAGCTCAGCAAGAATGGGGCATGTACTGGGTGCCAGTCACTGTTCTCAGCTCTGAGGAAACAAATACGTACAATCCCTGCATTGGTAGAGCTTATGCTCCAGAGGGGGAGATGACAAGGTCAATCAAACATGGGGCACAACAGGTGATGATGACAAAAGGTGATACAGAGAAATGGGGCAGGGAGTGGAGGTGGAGGAGGGGTGTCAGAGGCTGCCCCTTCAAATAGGGTGGTCAACAGATTTGAAGGAGAGGGAACAGCCGGCCATGTGGCCCTCTAAGGAAAAGCTCCTCAGGTAAAGGCCAAAGCAGGTGCTAAAGCCTTGAGGCATGAGCACGCCTGAGGAACAATGAGGCCAGTGTGGCTGCAACAGAGGACAACGAGAAGAAGTGGTAGAAGTGAAGCCAGAGCAAAAGTGGGGCCCTCGGAGGCCACTGGAGCCTTTGGCCACACAGGGTCTTAAAGAGAAGAGTGATATGAGCTGCCGGGAGCTGAGGGCAAAAGCAGAAGACCACAGGAGGCCATGAACAACCCAGCCAAGAGGTGAGAGGAGAACAGACCAGGCTGGTGCCAGTGGGGTGCTGAGAACAGTCAGACCCTGGCTCTGTTCTCGAGGTAGAGCTGATAGGATGTGCTATGTCCAGGATACAGGTAGGAGAGAGCGAGGAGTTAAGGATAAGCCGAGTTTGTGGCTGCAATATGGAGTTAGCTGGCCTAGTTTCATTTTACCTGCGAGAGGAGAAAAGTCAAGCACAAAGTCATAACACACCATATATTTCTGGGATTAGAACCCTCCATCAGTGCTCTCTGCCAGTGCCCAACACTGCAGCTTGGGGGGGGGTGCCAGTAACCAGCCTAATAGCCCCCAGATGCCCTCCAGCACCCCTCAGGGTCTGCCAACACCAAGCATCTTATTATAAATTAGGGCAGGATGCTATGAAGGAGAGCACAGGCCCTGCCCGGAGAAGGCAGCCAAGTTGATGGCTGCCACGTAAGAAAGTCAAACTGATACAGCCAGCACTTCCCATTTTTCCCAAGAGAACTCACAAATCTACATGTTAATGAAAAAATTCTCCAATTTTAAAAGATAGCTCAATTATTTAATATAGGCATTCCCTGAGTTACAAACATCTGGCTTACATATAACTCATACTTATGAATGGAGGCTATTACAGGTTAAGTTCAAACTTACATACAAATTCAACTTAAGAACAACCTACAGAACCTATCCTGTTTGTAACCCAGAGGGTTGGCCAAACAAATTTCATGTGCAAATCTCAGTTCTCATCAGGCAACATCTTTGAGTTTGTCTCAAAACAACACAGGTCCTTTTGTTTATACCTTGCCCTGGGTTAGTGTATAGAATTAAAGGTTTGAATTCAAAATTCACTTTTATTCTAACTTTTGAGTCAGCAGATGGTGTTCATTATCACTATAAAAAGCTGATAACCTGTAATCCTAGCACTTCAGAGGCCAAGGGGGGGGGGAAGACTGCCTGAGCTCACAGGTTTGAGACCAGCCTGAGCCAGAGCAAGACCTTATCTCTAAAAATAGCCAGGCGTTGTGGCCGGCACCTTTAGTCCCAGCTACTCGGGAGGCAGAGGCAACAGAAACGCTTGAGCCCAAGAATTTGAGGTTGCTGTGAGCTATGACACCATAGCACTC